TATGTTTCCAGACTATTACCACAGTTCTAAAATAATGTTTTCTGAAACAGAAAAGTAGGTATTTCCAAAAATAATTCTAAAATGTAGGGAATGGAAAAGTATGGAAATTCCAACTGTGTAGAAACCATGTTCTTCTTTTCTAGCTTTACATCTGAGTCTCAAATGTGTCCCGACTTCCCACCCTTGCAACTATTTTGACAAAACAACAGTAGCTCAGCCAAAACAGAGACCCCTAAAGGAGTGAGGCGTCATTACAACAGAGATTATGGATTCCAGAGTTGTCTGAATATAATAATAATGCATCAGATTTCATATAGCGCTTTATCAGAGACCCTCAAAGCGCTTTACATTGGATACATCATTCATTCGCTCACACAGTCATACTTTGGTGGTGGTGGAAACGTGGCTGCCATTCTGCGCCTACGGCCTCTCCGACCACCACCACACAACACTCACAATCATACACCAGTGGAGGACACACACACTGGGAGCAAGGTGGGTTAAGTGTCTTGCCCAAGGACACAACGGACAGACTTGGATTAGGGGGGAATCGAACCGCCAACCTTCCGGTCATTGGACGACCGCTCTACCTCCTGAGCTACTGATGGATAGATTTTTTAATTCGACTCTAAAATACATATAAATTGAGTTGACACTGGCATTTAAAGAGGCCTGTGCTACTTCTAACCGCTTTGACTGTAAATCCTATAGTATCCCATGATATATTGGCCTTTGCTGTGCTGAAATATTTATGCATCTGCTATCTATGGTAATTAATTTGGCTTTAAATGCAAGGGGTGTGGGTCATCATCAGAAGGACGCCCAGTCGACAATGTGAGCCGCATGTGATGGAATAGAGATGCATTTGACTAATGAGAAATTCTGCAGGGAGACATCCGTCAGACGGGGAGCTAATGCCCGATCCCCCGCCATCACTCGAAGCAATGGCGAGAGATGACGGAGGCACAGAGATATGACATTCTAATTGAAGGCATATTTCAGAGGAGGACAACAATATGAGCGCTGTGGGGGCCCTTAGGTATTTTTGCCATCATGTTACAGGGCAGCGCAGAGGATCTGAATGACTAATACAGTCTTTATGTCAAGCCTATTGGTAAGTCATTAAGTGACAGTGCTCCAGTGACAGCCAGGATGTGAAGCTGTTGGGGCAGCAGGCAGCTTTCAGAGTGGCCGATCACAGCATTTGGCAGGAGAGTAATTGATGGAATAAAACTAAAAGTGACGGCAGTTGTTTTGGCTCGACGGCGGCTGCAGAGGCATGTTAGACAAAGATGTCTGAAGTGGATGGGGGGGGGGGGGTTAAGGGGGAGTAGTAGGAGGGGTGGTGACAGATAAATGAGGCCATCGCTAGCAGAGGGAGGAGGAGGGGAGGAGAGAGTTGCTTGTGAGATCCCTCGTGATCTGTACCTGCCAAGTTCCTACCCTGAACAGCTGCTAGCAACTCCGAGGACGTGTAGCAGCTCACTCCCGCACAACATCCATCTATTGCAGCTTTTACTCCGACCGCACTCGGATCTATTTGATCAGAGTTTGATGCAGCATTTTACCTCCACAGAACCGTGTTATTCAAGCTTTATAAGTCTTTGGCAGCATTCATCGAGGAAACAAAAACCTATTTCATGCAGTAGGGCCTCCAAATTCAGTCCTTTTGGGTATCTTAAGGGATATTGTTTGAGAAACTAGCATGAATTTCTTCCATCCTTTTTTCATTCTTTGTTTGGATGAGGTGCCCCTCTGGAGACTGTGAGACTTTGACTGAATCTGAAAGCAAAAACACTTTCTTTCTCACAAATTTCATGCCCATACACAGCTTTTACAACACCAGAAACTGTTTGACTGCTATTAGAAAGTCTGATTTGAGCTTCAGCGTTTATTTTAAAGTGCTACACCCACCACTCATTATGCCTTCAAGCTGATGGTCACTCACAAGCTGCAGTGTGCCATTCATATCCCCTCTCTATGACTTGCACCTGCACTCCAGTGTTATATAACATTCCCGTCCGAGAGTCTCTGGACATGCCCAGCATGTGCAATGATACCCTGCCGTTAAAAGACATACTCTCATTCAGGGCACATGGTGTTTTCTTATTCATAAACTCAAAAGGGTTTCAATTAGACAATTGTGGCCGGCCCTCCCAGCGGTTTGTGTGTTTAAATGAGACGTCTCAGCGGGAAGACGATGGAAGAGTTCTGTTAAATAGTGGCCAGAGAATAGCAAGCCAGATGATGAAATACATCTTTATACTCGCAGTAACTTTTGAGTCATTAAAGTGTTTTTACCACAGAGTGGAGAACTACTTTCCTTCCGTCGAAGGGCCTAAAAGAAGTCAATTCTTTTGCTTTAGCTGTATTTATTCTTGAAAACCCTGCTGTGAGGATCAAGCTAGATTGCAGTGGTAGCTGGAGTCATTATTAATTTTCTGTAAGGTGTGATAACAGGTTATTTTATTTAAAAAAAAAAAAAAAAAATTGTATTTGCTTAAAGGTGGGGTAGGCAGGATCTGAGGAAGTGCCAGTCTTCTAGGGAAAAATCTTGAATGTAAACACTACCCCTCCTAACCAGTTTTCCCCTCAGCTCCTCCTCTCCCCTCCATCTCTGCTCCAGCAAGCCCCGCCCACAAACAGACACTCCTGCTCGCTCTTATTGTTTCAATAAAATTCAGATATAATGCAGATAAATACTTCAGATCATTACAAATGGGGCCCAGTCAATGCGAAAGTAAAAAGAATTGGTGCTACTGTAGATGCCAACAGACTAGGAGCAAACACAATGTTTGCAGGACTTCTAAAACCAGGATAAAGAAGTGACATACTCCAGGACCCGAGGTAAACAGTTTAGCGGCGCTCCAACACGCAGCAGGTCCCGTTTGACAAGAAACACTTTTGTTACAGACACTTGGCTTACTTTATTAGAGCGGTTTACCTGTCCAGCAGAAAGGTTACAGGGTGCGTAAGATCCTGAAGCGTCCCCCATCGTTTAAATACTTCATTGATGTTGACCCAGCTTCTGAGCTCTTGTCCGGTCTACCTCCTTTTTAAGCGCCCCTTAAGCCGCCAGAGTCTCCGGTATTTACTCTGTTTTCTTGTTTATGTCGGCAGTTGTGGCCAAAGGAGGATTCAGACAATATTCGGTACTTTCTGATTGGTTTCTACTGTCCAATATTGTAGCACGCTAACTTTTTGGGGGCTCATGAATGTTATTCGAGGACATAGAGCGTGCCTCACAACACAGAGGAGCAGCATCTGCCTCACACCCAATCAGGTCAGTGGAGGTGGAGAATGGCTTTGTTTACAGTCAGAAAGAGCGGGCCACTCAAAAAATTTAAAATGTTGACAACACAGATATATCAGATCACAGCGATATCGTTATATTACCAAATACACTCACCGGCCACTTTATTAGGTACACCTGTCCAACTGCTCGTTAACACTTAATTTCTAATCAGCCAATCACATGGCGGCAACTTAGTGCATTTAGGCATGTAGACATGGTCAAGACAATCTCCTGCAGTTCAAACCGAGCATCAGTATGGGGAAGAAAGGTGATTTGAGTGACTTTGAACGTGGTATGGTTGTTGGTGCCAGAAGGGCTGGTCTGAGTATTTCAGAAACTGCTGATCTACTGGGATTTTCACGCACAACCATCTCTAGGGTTTACAGAGAATGGTCCGAAAAAGAAAAAATATCCAGTTCTGTGGGCGGAAATGCCTTGTTGATGCCAGAGGTCAGAGGAGAATGGCCAGACTGGTTCGAGCTGATAGAAAGGCAACAGTGACTCAAATAACCACCCGTTACAACCAAGGTAGGCAGAAGAGCATCTCTGAACGCACAGTACGTCAAACTTTGAGGCAGATGGGCTACAGCAGCAGAAGACCACGCCGGGTGCCACTCCTTTCAGCTAAGAACAGGAAACCGAGGCTACAATTTGCACAAGCTCATCGAAATTGGACAATAGAAGATTGGAAAAACGTTGCCTGGTCTGATGAGTCTCGATTTCTGCTGCGACATTCGGATGGTAGGGTCAGAATTTGGCGTCAACAACATGAAAGCATGGATCCATCCTGCCTTGTATCAACGGTTCAGGCTGGTGGTGGTGGTGTCATGGTGTGGGGAATATTTTCTTGGCACTCTTTGGGCCCCTTGGTACCAATTGAGCCTCGTTGCAACGCCACAGCCTACCTGAGTATTGTTGCTGACCATGTCCATCCCTTTATGACCACATATACCACAACTTCTGATGGCTACTTTCAGCAGGATAATGCGCCATGTCATAAAGCTGGAATCATCTCAGACTGGTTTCTTGAACATGACAATGAGTTCACTGTACTCAAATGGCCTCCACAGTCACCAGATCTCAATCCAATAGAGCATCTTTGGGATGTGGTGGAACGGGAGATTCGCATCATGGATGTGCAGCCGACAAATCTGCAGCAACTGTGTGATGCCATCATGTCAATATGGACCAAGCTCTCTGAGGAATGCTTCCAGCACCTTGTTGAATCTATGCCACGAAGAATTGAGGCAGTTCTGAAGGCAAAAGGGGGTCCAACCCGTTACTTGCATGGTGTACCTAATAAAGTGGCCGGTGAGTGTATATCCCATCAATAACTAATAGCTATTGACTAATATTTAAAGCTTTTGTGTATATACACCACAAAAAAAGATGCTTCTTTAACAGAATCCTGTGTACCCCACCTTAAACTTACATTTGAAAAGTTATATCATTTAGTATTTGAGCTACTTCCTGCCTTCAGAGTACACAGGTGCAGCTGGTTTAAATGGGGAAACAGCCTCGCAGAAACTGGCAGGTAACTCTTTTGGAGTGTGTGAATCGCCACAGATCCGAGAGTGTAATTAAATTAAAGTGCTCCCAGTGCTGGCTAAATGGTTAGAAACTGGCTGCAGACCAGTCGAGTGCCCCATGTTGGCGTGGACTTAAAAACTGCTTAAAAAATTAAAAATAATGACATTTTAGACTTTCAGTTAATTGCATGTCATGACTGAAATTCTGTGATGAAGAAAATAGTTGTTTGACAGCCCGGATAAAAATATATAAAACCAATTTGAAAACATCCGATCCGACAGAAGTCCATTCTTCTTGTGAGGAGGAGTGGTGGAGCAGCCCCACAGTGCCTTTCATTGACCAGCTGCCACCAGTCGATTGCTTGAGACATCTCAACATAGCTATCGTAACAACTTCTAAGTCTTGTGACAGAAAGGATTCGTGTTTGAAGTCTTTAAGTTCCGGCCTCCTCCTCCTGGCACTCTAAATCTGAACAGAAGCTAACGCTATAGTAAGTGATAATGAAAACCCCACGTCAAGATGCAACACCAGCCAATTAACTCCACAACAAAGGAAGTAGAACACTGCCATGAGTGCAACCCAGATGTGAGCGCACACACACGGACTCTCAAACCCCAAAAACTAAAAGGATGGGAAGATGAAAATAGTAAAGAAGGGAAAATTAGCTGTGACACGCTTTAAGGCAGGACTGCTGCATTAGCCGACAGTTCACGCTGTCTCACACATCAAACTCCAACGTAGATCCACGGGGCACTTCAAGCAAGGCTGTTTTAAGTGGGATCAGGTCATCATCACTCTAGCTGTGATTGTAGCAGAGCTCCAACCGACCTGAATAGAAAGTGCTCTCTGCTCTTTGTTGTGTGGAAGAAAGAAACAATGTTTTGTCCGTGACGTCAATAACTCTAAGTCAAAAGATCACGATGGATAAAACAGCAAATCTGTCTGTCGAAATGTTTCAATGGAAGAAGAAAAAATGTTCAAGGAGATGTTGTTATCAGATCAAGACTGTAGAGGTAAGGGTCACAAGCTGTGGCAAAACCATTATGCCCTCAAGAGTCGAAGAAATGCATTTGTCAAGGGAACAAAATTGTTTTTAAAAGTAAAATACTGTTGGCCATGAAAAGATAGGACCAACAAAAGGTGAGATTCTCAGGGCTTGTTGCTGCTTCTCTCTTTTCACAGTCCCTGCTTTTGTGAGAAGAGCTCACCACTGCCTCTATTTAATATGCAAAAACTGTTAGAAGTCATCCTATTCTGCGAGAGGGAGAAACCTTTGCCTCGCCTTCTTTTTTCTTTCCTTTTTTTTTCCAGCGTTTGGGCTGACCTGCTTGAACTTCACGCACTGCGGAAAATTAATACAAATTACAGGTCATAACCTTCATTTAAAAGAGATACCCAGTATATTGTTTATTTAACTCGTTAAACCATCGGCATCTGGGTGGAAGGTGAAATTCATCTACATAATTCATCCTGAAAAAAAAAAAAATATTTTTTTTTTATTAAAAAGTATATTGCAGTGAGGCATTGGAAGTCAGGACTACTTTAGTTTTTTTTTGTTGTTGTTGTTGTTTTCATATCTGGAGCTTGAGAAAAAAAAAGTGTCTAATTTCTGAGTCCGGCATTTACTGATTACCAGCAAAAAGAAGGCAAAATGAATCTAATCTAAAAAACAACAAAAGAAATTGAATAAAATTGGTGGAATATAGAGGGCTTGAATTCAATCGTATAAATACAATTTGTGTCTGAGGGAAGCCCATGGCAAACCCGATGTATAGTATCACATCGTCGACATACAGGGTTACACGGAAGATCTGTTGGACATGAATGGAGTTGGCAGGTAGAAAAATAACGTTGTCTAGCCTTTGTACTTTTTTAATAACATCTCTGTAGAGTACAATACCAACCAGCAGCTTACAGACATGCCTGAGCAGAAAGTCTTTGCTGACAGTCCTTTATTCATGACTGTAATGTGATAGAACTCTAAACCATCAGTGCATCTGCATTTAGATCCGCCACAAACAACCCTATATCTGGATCCTGCCATCGATTTGCATAATTGGAGATTGTGGCTGGGGTGCTTGTTATTCATTGATGTGACACTGCGGAGAGGCAGATGGAGGGATGTACTGAACTGACTGTTCCAGTTTGTGTCGGGCAGGGGTGGGGATGTCTTGGCAGAAAAGGACCTGAAGAACCGGCTTTGCCACCCAATGCTACAAGCAAAAGTATCGCAGTCGTTCCTATTTATTCAATCATTTATTGAATGATGGATTGAAGATTGGCACGGACGCTCATGTCAAAGAAGCACCAAGAAAGGCAGCTGGAAAACAACTAAGCAAAGCGAGGTTGCTCCTGTTTTCCCCAGACAAATCTGAGACCTAAAAAACGAGCAGTGTGGGGTTTACCGGCCAGCAGGCCTCTAAATAACCTGAAGAACACACAGCAACTGACTGAGATGAGACACCGCTGACTGACTGACACATCCATCTCCCCTGCTATCTGTCTGACTGAGGGAGGGGAGCGATTGCAAGTCCCTCATGCATGAAGAAAAGAGCGCTGCTTATTAGTGATGGGAGACAGAGGGAGAGCAAGAGTGGGGGGGGTTGATAGGGGAGAGGGAGAGATTGCATCGTCTCCGTTTCAGTTTGATGAAGGACACGGCGTCTCCTCAGGATGAGTAGGAATCTGTGTCACGTCGGCGTGGTTAAGACTTCAAAAGTGTACAGTGAAAATGTGCCGTGACTTCAAATGGTCTGCAAAGGCAATTCTACAGTGACACCTGGCAGGGTTATCTTCTCCTACAGGCCTTTATATTCCTTTCCGATGAAATGCAAATCCAGCGCAGTTGACCTGCATATTCAGCTTTTACCTCCATGCATAGAAAAGTTTTTAACAACTTCAGGGACTGTAAGAAAATGATCATGAGTGGAAGTGGGGTCAGAAAAGGGGGAAAGTACTGGAGTCAAGATTGTGGTTATTTCACTCATGGGATGATTCTCTCTCTGAAAAGCTACATTTAATCATAAGTGATCTTGATAATGGCATTTAATCCTTCTTATTTTCCTGTTTGTTTTGTTTATCACCTACAAAGACATATCAAATTGTATCCTAATGACTGCTGATTCCAGATTTCAATAATAAATCAGGGTCATGAGTTAGGTGTCAGCAGATGTAAATGGCTGCACCTGCTAAAACAGCTGCTGTTGCTTTACATCTTCTTTGGCGAAAAATTCTTGCTGAGTGATGTGTTCGGAGACGGAAGACAGCAGGTTGAGATTTGTGGAAAGTTTCTCACAGGAGTTTCAGCTGCCTTCTCGGAGGCATTAGCCGTATATACAATAAACCGTGAAAGGTCTACTTCTCCCAAGTGCACGGAAACTGCACATTCAAAGAATCACACGACTGAGTGAGTGGTAAATGTCAGTTTGCACTGTAGCCTCAACATTTTATTACAGCGCACACATTCTCATGAAGCCTTTTGCTAAAAGCACGTCTCGTAGAGTGACAGCAGAGGTGAGACAACTGTATGTGGTCTGATGTACGATTTCCTCTTCTGGCTTTGCAATTTGGCTGAGAGGGCACTTAATAATTTTAGAAAATTGAAGTTGCTGCGCATGATTTATGTATCACCTTTGCCAACAAACCTTTCAAAGCTGCATTTCCTGTAAAAATTAGAGCCAGAGGGACATTCAAATCTTTACCAGCACACAGATAAATCTCATAAATTGTGCCATGTTTGTGTTATACATGGACAGAGCATTTCGCTGTGAACCCTCCTAAAATGTGTGTTTATGAACAGATCAATCAATACATCTGACCTATTACCTGCAAGGGCTTGTCATGGGTACTATTTCAGGTTTACAGCCTTTCAGCGTGAGCTCTATTGATTGCTCGCCTTCAGGAACACTTCTGGTGTAAGGACATGAAGGAGAAGGAGGAGGAGGAGGAGGGAGGGGTAAAGGAGGAGGAAATGGTTCATCTCCTGTTATTGGAGTTGTGGGGATTTTGATCTGAGGTTTGCCAGAACCACAAGAGCACTAATGTGTGACATGGAGGCCTCCTTACAGGCTTTTCCTTTACAAGTGAAAAGCTGTCCACAGGAGAAAAGGAAAAAAATAATAAACAGGTCTAAATGGTGAAATGAGAACAAGACAATCTGCATAATTAGGAGTGTCAACAGAGCTTTTTTTGCACAGCAGTTGCCTGCTAGTTCTACAAACTGTAGGAGAAATTAAATATTCTTTTTTAATTTTTACTTTTTAACAACACTGCGACTATAACAGCTGTACGCCAAGGACATAATGTTCCCCTGTCTTATTGTCTGGAAGGGTGGGAAATGCAGACTGTAATTTCTCTGGTTTAAGGAACTGTGAAGAAGTTTTTGGACACAGCAGCTGTCATTTTTTATAAACCAGAGTCATCTTTGGCCTCAATGTAAGCTAATGAACTTGTGAAGACGACGACAAATATTGATATAAATAAATGAATATAAATATTTTAGGGTCCTACCTGCCCCCCAAATGATTGAAAGTATATCATTACTGTTTATTTCTCCAAATGATCCTCAAGTGTTTGGCATGAATATGGCTACTTGAGAGTTGAAGCCTCCTCAACCTTTAATCATAAATATTTAATATGCAAAACTATGATTCAAGAGTCATTAGGGGTTCCTAATTTAGCACTGTCAAAAACCATTTCAGCTTATCCAGCACATCCTGTATTCTTTCATTGTTTGCATACATGTACATAGTTGTATTTGATGGACTTTAACACGTGTCCATATTTATCCTAATGGAGATTGTACAGGCCATTGTAGATCGACTGCACTTGTCAGGCGCTACACTTTTAGACCCTTGAGGCCAAACAGTGAGCTCACTTCCATGTGATGACAAAAAGTAAGGGCCAATAAAAAAGAAATGTTCAAAAACATGGTTCCTCTGATAAAAATCCTGAGGGCTGGAAATGGCCCCTGGGCTAATACAACTGAACAAATGTTTTTAGTGTTCTGAAACAAAAGACTTCGATCTATGTTGTTTGACAGTTCTGGTACAGTGTGACATTGCCGACAGAGGAGTGGAAAGTCCTCCTCTGTTTTACAGAATAAAAGATGGCATCCTTACTGCTCGCGCTCATGCTATTTCACAGCGGCTCTGAACATGAAGCTGTGCTCTTCAGAGCTTGTTTTGTCTCGCCCTCGGATGGAACAATCTGATGAAATCAGGCCCAGTGTGTCTGAAGCGTCACGGTCAGAGGGATGCCTACCTATGCGGTGAAACGCTAAGCAGTTATGTGCTGTCTGACTTGGAAAACCATGTCATGTTTTAGATCGCTGATTCCCACGGATAAGCATTTTGTGTTTGAAGATTGTGGACTGAAAGAATACAAAAACAAAGGGAGCAGCACAGCGGCAGTCCACTGTTTCACATTAGCATGTTGTTGTTGTTTTTTTTTTTTAGCTATGCAGCTTACCAAGCATCTCTTGTCTTACTGTGGATATTTGCAAAGATTGAAATTGCTGCTTTGCATTCTTGAACTTCCCTAACACTGCTTTCTGGTGTTAGATTATGTCTAAAGGTGATTTTGTTGATGCTTAACAATACATAGGAAAGAAAGGACTCAGCAAAAAAGAGTGCTTAGACCAACACCTGTGTGTCTGCGCTAATGGGAGAGAATAAAAGATGAAATGATGTACACAGATACGCAGAGGAAGCATCTCATAATTCTACTGTATAGCTGCTGAAAATAGAGCAAATAGCAATCATGTCCAAAGGGGAGAAATAAAAGAGGAAAAAAAACAACCATACTAATCAACACCACTGCTGACCTCTTCATCAAAATACACCCAAAGTTGTCATCAATCAATTTCATTTTCACTCCCACTGTGGACCGTAAGGCAGCGCAGAAATAAACATCACAAACATCAGCCACAAACAAGCTCCAAAGAGATTCTTCAGAGGGTCTTTCAAGTCGAATAGATGGATGTGGGAAACAAGACTCAGGCTCAGGAGGGAGGAGGGAGGGGTCCTCTAAACAAGCAGTAACACTCTATTTACATTTATAAGTGGGAAATATTTATGTAGATATGTTTGTCAAGCCTTTCAGCTTTTACATCTTCCTACAGTTCAGACAGAAATTATACATTAGCTTTTTTGGTGTTAGACTTCTGAACTGAAAAATCAGGCTTTGGCTAAATCTGAAATCTAAAATATTCAAGAACAAACTCAAACTCTGATCAAGTTTGATTTCAGTGAAGTTTTTCCAATTCCTTGCATCTTTTTAACTTTACTTTTCCGGTGAGTGACTCTTTTATAACTTTTTTAGGAAACAAACCAGGCCAAAATGTTACGTTTTAAAGTTGAAAGATTAAAATTTTATAACTACTTCTTTGAAGAGTACTTTATTAAACATTGTATTTTACTCAAATTGGCATTTTAAAGATTGTGTTAAATTTTCCTCTGATTATCAAACAGACTAAAAGATTTAAAGGGTTTACTGACTACTTCTCTACTATTATATCCAAAGTAGGTGTCAGACCAAATGCTGAACTCCAAAACAGCATGCTTCTTAATTTATTCACACTTATAACTTAAAACAAGTATAATACATTTGACTGATAATAATAACGTGTATAGGATTAAGTCAGTAAGTTGATAAAAGGTGCTGCTTTGTCCAGAGAGGGCGCCAAAAACAACACAAGTCAAAAGTTCCTCACAGGAGCTTGAAAATATACATTTTTCCAAACTCAACCTGTATGATTTGGGTTTTATTCACCAGGTCAAGTTTGCCAACATTTTAAGCATACTATATATTGCACTATAGATTGCACTGATATGGATTTAGAATATATAGAAAGGTCCCTTGCAATGAAAATGTGTTTTTCTTGCCTTTACAAGTATACTTCATTATCGTCTAGCCAAACAATCCAAGCTGTGAAAATGATGTATTATAGCCCACCAATAAGAAAAACAGCTTGTATTAGGCAATCTGAATAAGCTCCTGTGGTGATGTCACGACAGGAGTGATTTGTATAGGCCTGCATGCACAACCACTTCCACTCCCATTCCACCATGTAGTGTGTTATTGTGGTTTTGCTGTGGTATGATAAAGCAAGAAAACAGTGTTTATTTTTAACAACAAAGTGCTGGTACACTCTGTTTCTGACCCTCAGGCTGCCTCGACAACAAGGGTTGTACAGTGCTGGGTTTGCTTTGAATCCAACCCCCATGAAAAAGAGTCTCAAACATTGTGTGATCCAACTACATGCTGTCAGTTAATGTTACAGTTCTTACAAGACACATAAAGCTGTAGTTAGATTGGCTTGTTAACATCAGCTTTGCTAACGTGTTTGTGCCTTCAGCTTGTTTGCATCATCGTTTTCTTGATATATTTCTATACAGTCAGTGGAGCTTTGAAACTAAATGTGTTGACTCTTGGAGAGAGAGATAGACAATTATGGTTGAACACTATTAGCATTTGCTAACGGCTTAGCACACTTCTGAGAAACTCTTTGGAAAGGACTTCAAAGCAGGTCTATTGTGAATAATATTACCGAAGAGCTTGTTTGTTTCTGTAAAAAGCCTAACAAGCATGGGTTACAGTGTCTGGTTTAGTTGGCCAAAACAAGCACCTGGACTCATTTAACTGGAATTTCTTCTCGAGCACTTGCTACATTTGTTGGGGTGTTTTTTTTCACACCACTGAGACAACCAGACAGTTCAAGGCTTCTTTATCATTGGATCTTGAAATACTTGGGTCACAGCGATGAAATGAGGTAACAAACTGAGAGGCTGCAGATCTTCCCAACAGGCTGAATTTGTGCATCTAAATCCAAACCTTGCATTAAACACAAATTTTTTATGCAATCACTATATTCTCAATGGCTCTGCTCCAAGCATCTATCCGTTTATCAACAGTGATATATGCGACCTTTTGTAGTGAGGTTTTCTTTCCTCTTGTACACTGCTGTTTGCATTTTAGCCGTGTTGTATAGGTAGTTGTCATGCTCCCTGTTTTCTTTGAAAAGTTCCCAAAGCCATGCCACCTTAACAAATTGGTTTCAGCTCCTGTATGATTGTTGCAGTGCATTTTATTTTCTGAACCGCAGAACAGAAAGAATATTTAAAGGATTCAATTTCTCCGAAGAAAGGAGCCTCTCTTGTGAAGTTATGCCTTCAGTGAAAATATTCGAAGTCTGAGCAAGACAACTCCAAAACATTTTAATCATGGCTGTAATTGATAGGGAAGACCGTCTCTGAGAATTAATGAATCCAAAAGCAGCCCTTTGATGTGAGCAGGACTGTGACATTCAGATTTGTGCTCGACTGAGTCTGAACCAGATAGCTGCGCAGAAATAGCTGACTTTGGCATTGGTCGGCCGTCATCCATCACCTTTGATATCAAGCTGCAGACAGGTAGATTGATACGCCTGGTACAGATAGCAGGGAGACCCGACAGAGGGAGTATGACTTTTCTTTAGGTCAGCTCTGCTGTTTTTTAATTACATTTAAATGTATAATGATGTCAAATTAGGACCAGCGGTTAAATAACTGTCTGTATGGAAGGACTTCCCTTTTAGATCGTAAAGTACCATCATCATTAAAGGGATTATCCAGCATAAGATTAAGTTGTGGTCAAACACACTGTAACACCAAGTTAGACACCCCCTCGAGAGATAAATGTTGCCGACCACTTGCTTCTCTAGTTATACCAACTTTAGTAATGACCGCACGTTAGCAATACACAACAGTCTGAGGAGCCACACACAAACTTTAACCAAAACGCCACTCTATAGCCACACATAATGATCACAGCAGTACCTAACTTCATCGACAGCTGCTGTGACGCAGCTCAAGGAACAACGTTTATGATCATTTCTTTATCATTTTCTTGAAGTAACAATCACCATATTAATCATTTTGCACTGCAGACACGGTAGTTCTTCTGCCTTAGCGTCTCGGTCTGATTGCGTTTCCATGAAGAAATGAGGACAAATGTTCTTTCTTGAGCTGCGCAACCCCGCTGTAGTCCGTAACAGACTGGCCTGAGGTCTCGCTACAAACAAGTGGCTGCTGGAAGAGAGTAGGTGAGTTGTGTTTAGTCGCTTTGCTAAAGAAATTAGGCAAAGCTAAAAATATGTTTGGTGGCTAGTACTATGGCTAGGACCATATATGTACTGTTGATGAAGTTTAGTTGAGGTTTGTGTCTGGCTTCTCAGATCACTGTGTATTGCTATCATACGGTTGTTGCTAAAGTTGGTATAACTAGACAAGCAAGCGGCAACATTTATGTCTAACTCGGTGTTGCGGTGTGTTTGACCCTAAATTAATTTTACGCCGGAATATCCCTTTAAGAGATATCTGGACTAATGTGAGTTTTCTCATATTTGAGCTGTATCTGGATGGAATAAGTGGATATTTGAGCCTTACACCTTTTGTCAAAATTGTTTTGATACGGTGCAAGATAAATCACGACAAATATGCTGGTATATCTCAATGTAAACAAAGTCTTTAAAAATGAAACTTTCAGCCTGTGGTACCTTCAAGCTCACACACAGATGTCCAAATAGCCTCTGACACGCACCGACTAACACTGCTGAGTCTTGTCGAGACTTGTTGGCCTCGCGTGGACCGAGGGAATTCTTGCCGTTGTGAGTTACATCCATGAGACTGAATTTGACCTTTACATGTATGTGTTTAACATCAAAACTTGATAGAAATATTAAATGTTTCTTTTTAATTACGATGTGAAACTGTATGATAGTACAAACAGATGGAACAGAGGGCGAAATTTGCCTTTATGTCACCACCTTATGTGCTGTAATTAGCAGCTGGTCTGAGTGAATGTGAAATGCAGAGGTTTTTATGCTGCACTTGATCCCTTTAATAAGGTTAAAAAAATCAGGCTCAAGGATTACTCCTGGTGCAACCTAAGACAGATGGTTATAGGACATGACCTCCATAAGGGCTGAAAGACGAGGGTGTTCTGCAGAGGAGATCATCACGTACTCCCAAAGATTGCACATCCAATGGCACCATAAATACAACTTAATTGACTAATAAAAGGACATATTAGCGCACTTTGCC